AGGGTCCATTCTCAAAGCCATTATTCAAATTAGGTTTGGTTTCACACTAACAGTCGGCATACTTCTACTATCATTTACAGAGAGTTGTAAAAAAAACGCGACTGATTATCCACAAGAAATGTTCTTTTACCCGAGTTTGATTCTGTTATATACTCATTCAACGTCAAGTATATGCTATTGGATATCATTAAGCATGTTTTTATCGAATCACCCATTCTCATCTTTCAACGCTGTGACTCTACACTGTATCATTTGATATACATACATTTACCGACTTCTCTATCATAACACGTTATCACGTGGGGGGCAAGGGCCCTGGGCTGATGATGAGTCTATTCAGCCTGACTGAGCCAGGATCACCCAAACTCTCTTTACCGCATTTTTTAAATTTTGATCTGTACATGATAATAGAGTCTAACAAGACTGGCTGTGCCAGGATGAACCAAACCCTCCTTGCTGCATATATTTATTTTAATCTGTAAAATATAACGATAATGATGATAATAATAATACTGATGATGATGATGACGATGATGATAAATTATTAGTTGTGTATACGACTATTTTCATATATTTACCTTCAGTACAAACACTCTTTGCTGCATTTTTATGTCAATCTGTAAACGAAATGATGATGATGATGATGATGAAGTTGATGATGATGATGATGATGATGATGATCTCACTAGTGCGTTCCTACAGCGTCTCCAACCACCGACAAAACGCATACATCACCATAGCCATAACAGAGGCTCCAAAAAGAGCCAAAGCCTCCACAATTCTTCCAAGCAAATGTATAGGATCAGCAATCGCTATGACGCTCAACTCATCCACATAATCTAACGAGAGTTGACTGTCCATGGCTTTTTCTACCTTAGATCTTTCTGAAGCTGCGCGTTATTATTTCGACTCGCAGGTATGACGTCTCTCACGTCATTTCCCAAACAATGCGTGGAACTTCATTCGTTTGGCAGCGATTGGTTTTTTTCTCCACATGAAATTCTCAGTGCAGTTTTGGGGGTCTGCGTTCTAATATTCCTCTAACATTTCGTTGGGCAGGGCCGAAGACGCATCAAGTTCCCCATCAACCGGAATCACAGCGCTGTGAAGGCAAGCTTGTACTACTGTTTCACTGCTCTCCTGAAGGACATAAACCGTATTTTAGAGGCTACAACCCACAGATGTGTCCCCAAACATGCCTAGGAATTAGCTGGCGCGTTCTTGTGTATTACGTGATGCTATTTCATCACGACTCCGCTGAAGCTATTCTTAAGCCACGATAGCCTAACCAAAATACGGCAGTCATCGATCTGGGAAATTCCATCGCAATCCTTTGGAAAAACGGTCAAATTTGCTCTCCTGTGATTTATCTCCAGGTTGGACTTAATAAAATTTGCCCAACACATATGACTGAATTTGGAAAGAAAATCAATTTGAAGAATAAATGCGTATCGACATAGCTGTACGGCTATAATGTATTCAGCCAAAACGTCTAGAGCCAATAATGTGCCTTGACTCTCCGACCTATACTACCATCGCTCAAGTTATTAAACACTAAGTGGATATTTTACACTTGGACGGTACAAGGAATCGTCTACAGGCTGTTATTTTAAGACTCGACAGACACAAGTTGCTCTGCGAGAGAAGCCACAGTATTCCTTGGTACTTCACGCCTCAGTACCTTACCTAACCTTAAGTAGAATCAGTACAATAAATATAGAATACTGGGAAAAAAGGTGTGCGGGTTATTTTTGTGATGTTCTCGAGGGAAATCAGTTCATGGTTAAAACGCATCTGTAATCTAATTTTTGTAATTATTTCTAACACGGCTAGGAATTATACAAATATACTTCGCTCGTCACGTGCTTTCATCTTAGTAGATCGTATGTTGATGTTGATAACGAGATATATATGCATAGTTTGATGTAGGTGAGCACACATATATGTCGAAACCTTGTTCTATTTTTATTGCAACGCCCTTTCCTAATTAGAGGTGGTGCGTCTTTACTACTTTGCCATTATCTTTTTTATTGAACAAAATTGTTTCTATGAGTATTGATTTTAACAGCCAAATCTAGATAGCAAGCACCGTCAACAGCCTATGTTCCTTGTAAATACTGTAAGCTTGGTAGCAGTCCATCTCTTGCCGCGTGTGTTAACGCTTTGTTGTTTTATCAAGTGGTTTATTACAAAAACCAAATGACGTCACTCGCTTGAAGAAGAAAGGAAGATAGCAAGTTTCCATGGTAACCGATATTTTATTTCGGTTGTGATTAAAGTAGGTTTGTCCACACACGTAATCCGCATTGCTAGTTTGTCAGCGTCATCTGGCATACTTGCAGTTGAATAAAGAATAGCATTATCGGCATGCAAGTCGTTTAACAGAAGGATATATTGAATATTGGACCTTTGATTTTCTGTGACGCAAGGTACCACATAGGCATGTAGGCTGTGCTGCATCCTACATGTATTTATTGACGGGAAATAGGATTAGTAGCCAAACATTGCATTGTCTACATTGAGGTACACTAGAATTAATGGGTTTACTTCAACCTGAATTTCCATGTTCGAATCTCAAATGCACTAATGGCGTAACGCGGGGCATCATGAGATCCGACAGGTTGGAGGGAAAATGTTCGATAAAACCAATATGCTGTTTGATTGTAAGAAATTGCATAGTACTTGTATCACTTATGACAATCTGCTCGTCAATTATAACTTGGTGTCACTGGGAGTTTTACCAACGCCTTACTAACAATATACGCCGCTATCAATTTGATTCTGTTTTTTCGGGTGGATATTTATGCAGTCAGGTCATGTTAGATGTCTGGCCATCATGGATCTTGGTCTAACCAGTCAGGTCGCGTTAGATGTCTGGCCTTCCTGGGTCTTCGTCTTACCAATCAGGTCACAGGAGATGTCTGGCCTTCTGGGGTCTTGGTCTAACCAGTCAGGTCACGTTAGATGTCTGGCCTTCAGGGTTCTTGGTCTAACCAGTCAGGTCATGTTAGATGTCTGGCCTTCAGGGTTCTTGGTCTAACCAGTCAGTTCACAGGAGATGTCTGGCCTTCTGGGGTCTTGGTCTAACAAATCATGCAGCGTTAGATGTCTGACCTTCTGAGGTCTTGGTCTAACCAGTCAGGTCACAGTAGATGTCTGGCGACTTGGTCTAACGAGTCAGGTCACGTGCACGGTAGATGTCTGGCCTTCTGGCGTCTTGGTCTAACCAGTCAGGTCACGGTAGATGTGTGGCCTTCTGGTGTCTTGGTCTAACCAGTCAGGTCACGGTAGATGTCTAGCCTTCTGGCGTCTTGGTCTAACCAGTCAGGTTACGGTTGATATCTAGCCTTCTGGCGTCTTGGTCTAACCAGTCAGGTTACGGTTGATGTCTGGCCTTCTTCGTCTTACAAATCAGGTCACGGTATCTTGGGTCTTGGTCTAACCAGTCAGGTCACGGTATCTTGGGTCTTGGTCTAACCAGTCAGGTCACGTTAGTTGTCTGGCCTTCTTGGGTCTTCGTCTTACCAATCAGATCACGGGAGAGGCTTCATTGGTCAGGTCACAGTACACTCTTGTTAACAACAAAATATGTATACAGAATATGACATTGCTGCAATTTCTCATTCATACTTTTTGTGACGAATACAAGCGATTGCGCGTTATGCAGTGCTTCACACTTGTAGCCTCTGAAATCAAACACACAGCTTTGCCAATAATGTTTATTTATGCTCGTCACTGATATTCGGTTAAACCAAAACTCCCCATATTTCAATCCAAATATACCCACATATTTCAGTAACAGCCCCGCCACATCGATTATCTGCACAAATAGCGAGGGCGCCAGAAATAGCTTCACGAAGGGAGATAACTCTTAATGAAACTATAACAGTAACCGCTACATAAACGTGTTTTCAAAATGCTGCGTTCTCAAATATTTGTATGCTTTTCATTTTCTGGTGTCATTACCAGCCTACTTAGTCCCACAAGCATACAGTAAGCATACAAAGACACCCGGTGCACTGTATGGCGGTGTTCAGGCATGTACGCCGGTCTTCGCGGTCACTGAATATTATTATCGATCCAACCGTATTTGCAGACTTTGGTCTTTATTAACCGGAATCTCTCGCTGGAACATGATTTGGTCAACCTGTCACCACCTCCCGTCGCCCCAGTAAATACGCGGTCTGTCAGTGGAAGTGTTAGCGAGTGGGAATATGGCCTGGGCGAAGCTATGAATCGTCAAATACCAGTAACGATTTTTACTTGAGTGAATATCTTTGATGTTAAATAAACCAATCGAATTCTGTAGAACAAATATGCTCCCATCTGTAGGAAAAAAATTCAACAAGTTAAAGTACCGTTTACAAAAGCTTGTAAAAATGTGTACATTTCAACAATCTCTCACACGAATCGATTAAGGCCAAATACTTGTAATAGTCGTGGTATTTGCATTTTTAGAAGTACACATGATACATTGGCAGGGGTTTCAAACTATCCATGACCACGGATATTTGTTTTGTTTGACATTTGACATTTCGGTTCCCATGAGAGGTAATTTGAAGAAAAATCCATTTTTCGTACTTACATCTATCAATCATGTTCAGGTAGTGTTAAAACAAAGAACAGATTTAATGAATGCTGTTAGACTTGTATGGCAAAAGAAGATAGGTTGATACTTTGAGGAAGGTTTTACTTGATGCATTTTATTATGAAATTGGAGAAAATTAGAATCTGTATCGGTAGGGGAGAGACATTGTTCCTACATTGTGAAGTCGCATCTGTGTGACACAAGTACACCCTTTCAACATTGGGTGTTTTGTGTGATGGATGTGGTAGGGGTGGGATGGTAATGGATGTATGTAGGGGTGGGGATGAGTGTGGTGGTTGATGGGCGTGGTAGGGTGGGGCTGTGGGTGGTGGTTGATGGGTGTGGTAGGGGGATGTGGGTGATGGTTGATGGGTGGGTTAGGGTGGGCTGTGGGTGATGGTTGATGGGTGGGTTAGGGTGGGCTGTGGGTGGTGGTTGATGGATGTGGTAGGGTGGGGCTGTGGGTGGTGGTTGATGGGTGTGGTAGGGTGGGGCTGTAGGTGATGGTTGATGGATGTGGTAGGGTTGGGGCTGTGAGTGGTGGTTGATGGGTGTGGTAGGGGGGCTGTGGGTGATGGTTGATGGGTGTGGTAGGGTGGGCTGTGAGTGGTGGTTGATGGATGTGGTAGGGTTGGGGCTGTGAGTGGTGGTTGATGGATGTGGTAGGGTTGGGGCTGTGAGTGGTGGTTGATGGATGTGGTAGGGTTGAGGCTGTGAGTGGTGGTTGATGGGTGTGGTACGGTTGGGGCTGTGGGTGATGGTTGATGGATGTGATAGGGTGGGGCTGTGGGTGATGGTTGATGGATGTGGTAGGGTGGGGCTGTGGGTGATGGTTGATGGATGTGGTAGGGTGGGGCTGTGGGTGGTGGTTAATCGGTGTGGTAGGGGGGGGGGGGTTGGGTGGTGGTTGATGGATGTGGTAGGGTGGGGCTGTGGGTGGTGGTTGATGGGTGTGGTAGGGAGGGGCTGTGGGTGGTGGTTGATGGGTGTGGTAGGGGGGCTGTTGGTTATGGTTGATGGGTGGGGCTGTGGGTGGTGGTTGATCGGTGTGGTAGGGTGGGGCTGTGGGTGGTGGTTGATGGGTGTGGTAGGGGGCTGTGGGTGATGGTTGATGGGTGTGGTAGGGGGGGCTTTGGGTGGTGGTTGATGGGTGTCGTAGGGGGGCTGTGGGTGATGGTTGATGGGTGTGGTAGGGGGGGCTGTGGGTGATGGTTGATGGATGTGGTAGGGTGGGGGCTGTTGGTGATGGTTGATGGGTGTCGTAGGGGGGCTGTGGGTGATGGTTGATGGGTGTGGTAGGGGGGGGGCTGTTGGTGATGGTTGATGGGTGTCGTAGGGGGGCTGTGGGTGATGGTTGATGGGTGTGGTAGGGGGGGGGCTGTTGGTGATGGTTGATGGGTGTCGTAGGGGGGCTGTGGGTGATGGTTGATGGGTGTGGTAGGGGGGGGGCTGTTGGTGATGGTTGATGGGTGTCGTAGGTGGGGCCATTGGTGGTGGTTGATGGATGTGGTAGGGTGGGGCTGTGGGTGGTGGTTGATGGATATGTTAGGGGGACCATTGGTGGTGGTTGATGGATGTGGTGGGGGGGCTGTTGGTTATGGTTGATGGGTGGGGCTGTGGGTGGTGGTTGATGGGTGGGGCTGTGGGTGGTGGTTGATGGGTGTGGTAGGGGGGCTGTGGGTGATGGTTGATGGGTGCGGTAGGGGGGGCTTTGGGTGGTGGTTGATGGGTGTGGTAGGGGGGCTGTGGGTGATGGTTGATGGGTGTGGTAGGGGGGGCTGTGGGTGATGGTTGATGGATCTGGTAGGGTGGGGCTGTGGGTGGTGGTTAATCGGTGTGGTAGGGGGGGTATGTTGGTGATGGTTGATGGGTGTGGTAGGGTGGGGCTGTGGCTGGTGGTTGATGGGTGTGGTAGGTGGGGCTGTTGGTGGTGGTTGAAGGATGTGGTGGGGGGGTGGGGGGGCTGTTGGTGATGGTTGATGGGTGTGGTTGGGGGTGGGTGTTGTGATGGTTGATGGATGTGGTAGGGTGGGGCTGTGGGTGGTGGTTGATGGATATGTTAGGGGGGCCATTGGTGGTGGTTGATGGATGTGGTGGGGGGGGGGGGGCTGTTGGTTATGGTTGATGGGTGGGGCTGTGGGTGGTGGTTGATGGGTGTGGTAGGGTGGGGCTGTGGGTGGTGGTTGATGGGTGTGGTAGGGGGGCTGTGGGTGATGGTTGATGGGTGTGGTAGGGGGGGGGGGCTGTTGGTGATGGTTGATGGGTGTGGTAGGGGGGCTGTGGGTGATGGTTGATGGTTGTGGTAGGGGGGGCTTTGGGTGGTGGTTGATGGGTGTGGTAGGGGGGGGCTGTTGGTGATGGTTGATGGGTGTGGTAGGTGGGGCTGTGGGTGATACTAGTGGTTGATGAATGGTTTTAGAAATTGTTAGTTAACATGGGATTGATGGTATGGATGAATAGATAATGTCCAATGGTGGTGATACTATATATTTAGCATACATTAAGAAATAAGATGTTCGAACACACTCTTTAAAGCGTAAACAAATGACAGCACAATATCTAAAACAATTTTGTGACAGGATCTGTAATGCTTCATGGAGTATTAACACTTATATGTTAACAACCCTGCCCGCCACCCCCATCTCCCTCCAATTCCGAAACCCAACAATTGCTGTAGCCGCCCTTTATCATGTGCATTAATCCTTCTGAACGTTACCACACAGTTTACCGTTTGCATACACTATATTTCAGCCAAGAATGTACAATATCAAGAAAAATCATATTGAAGGCTGCAGGATTCAATTTTAAATTGTGCCGTTAAAAGCTTTCCCGATAAAGTATTATCTATGGTTGCGTTGTTGCATTACTCAGTAAACAAACTGACCGAAAGTTACCTCGATGGAAATGCTTGAATCATTCTGGGCTCAGCGTACAAGCTAATGATTAGTAGGCACAATGAACGAGCATCACTACGCCCCTGTTGTAGGACGAATAGATCTAGGATCACATTCCCACGTAATGGCAATAACCTTAAACCTTTCACGCTTGTTAATGTAGAAAATCCATTCTTTAACGCAAAATAACATTCTTATCGCTTCACTTTATATCTATCAGTCTGCCTTTCGACTTAGGTGACACGGAAGCCGACAGGGGGCGTCGTCTGTGAGTGTAATGGTCACCTCACCTCGCGACCCCAACTCCTAATCGTTATCAGGTAAATTGGAAAGATGGTTGCGAGTTCCGATTTCTCTCTGCGCCTAATTTTCTGAAAATAGTGCGACCTTTTCACGCCTTCTGTCATGTACTGTGATAGCAGACGGACCAACTCTACCAGCAGACGACAATTCACAGAGAGGCCAATCGGAAGCGTTCACCAGCACTTCCGGTCATTGTGGTTAATACAGAAAGTGGGAACTGGCGTGATGGCGAAGGTTTCGTTCTGGTCTCAATCAGAAAATAATTGGTAACCGGGATCGAACCCAATGTGGGTCAAGTGAAAGATTCATTAACTTCTAAAAATTGTCCTTATTGGTTTTCCACTCCGTTCCACGGAGAAACGCGCAGCACTGGAAGTGTTTTCTGGTATTTGGAAGAGCAAAGCGCGATGGTTATGAGCCAAATTTGGGTGAAGAGATCGATTTTCTCCCCGTAGAATCAGGAGAGCCGTGGCACTGCTCCTCAAATAGGAATGGGTAAGTGTGCAGCCTGCCTCAGCCACCATGCTAGGGCAATACATCCAAACAAATTAAGGAGGCCACTTGTCACAAAGATCAATAGCGAGTCCCACAACACCGTGTAGTGAGCTCCCCAAAACACTAAACATGCAGTTCCAGAGGCATCAGGTGGGTGGATGCTGTGCAATGACATAAAGCGATGCGTGGAGTTTTTAACAAAATAATAAAACTGACATTTCTTTTTCTAATTACCAATCTTTGTATTGTGTGGCTGAAATCTGACACTAAGGTACTTTCCTTCTATTTCGTTCTGCTGGTACGTGAGTGAGTGAGTGAGTGAGTGAGGGAGGGAGGGAGTGAGTGAGTGAGTGAGTGAGTGAGTGAGTGAGTGAGTGAGTGAGTGAGTTTAACGCCGCTGTGGACAGTATTTAAGTTATATCATGAAGTACTATTGACACGCATCATTGTATGTTACCTGGTGGTTGTTCATGTGCTTGCTGTAACACTAGTTCTGAAACCCAAGGGGGCACGCGTGACTGATCGGATTAGTAATAATACCATTGTCCACTTCCTGTATGAGAAAAATACCACTGGTCTTAGAGCAACAACACATTTTTAAACACATAGATTTTAAACCTCGGCGGGATGCGAACCTGCAACCTCTTGATTTTTAGTCCAGCATGCTACCACCTGCGCTATTGTGTCAAGGGGGCGGTCGGGTAGCCTAGTGGTTGAAGCGTTCGCTCGTCACGCTGAAGACCCGGGTTCGATTCCCGACATGGGTACAATGTGTGAAGCCCATTTCTGGTGTACCCCGCCGTGATGTTGCTGGAATATTGCTAAAAGCGGCGTAAAACCATACTCACTCACTCACTATGATGTCAAGTTTCCAAGTCACCATTGGTTTGGTTAAGGTGTACACTTTGATGTTAATATTGGACCACGTTCTGATTTGCACATCTAATTTCAATATATATATCTTATCCATACTTGGCTTTCAACAACCAAGTCAACAAGCCTGACCACCCGATCCCGTTAGTCGCTTCTTACAACAAGCACAGGTTGCTGGGGATCATTCCAATCCGAACAAAGAGTTAAAGTAAATACCAAATAATATGTGCCCATATTGCAAGCCTTCCACAAAACAAGACTAGGTGAGGTGAGGTGAAATGGGGTTTAACGTCGCGTCCAAGATTATTTCACTTATATAGCGACGTGCATGTACGTGTGTGTGTTTGTGTGGCTGCTTGTACTAGTCCGGACTGATGCCGATTTATAGTGCTAGCCCACACAGTATACTGACTCCGAGCCGACCAGTCCTTGCTTTAGCCCTTTAATGCCGAGCGCCAGACAGGGTAACAACAAGTACCATCTTTTAACGTCTTAAAACGCGGGCGGGGATCGAACCCCGGACCTTCCGCTCTCCGGGCGGACGCTCTAAAACTAGACCACGGAGGCGGTCAAAACAAGACTAAATGTATCTAGATTGCCTACCATGGTCGGAAGCTATTGAAAGCCTTTGTCTCAAACACGGTAGCCCCGGAAAACGATATTTTCGATAAGCCGCTCTTTCGATAATTCAGATATATCACTGAGAGGTAGTCTTGACTCTAACTGTATCAAACACTGATAAATCTCACAGTGCACAGTTGTTCCCCTTAGCTAAAACGAGACCGGGTTCGAATCCCATATTGTCTCTGATCACGAACCTTGGTTTGTCTATACCAATCACTGGAACAAACGCCAACAATCTTACTCTTGTTTTTTGTTTTACATAGCTGACACGCACTAATGTTTTCGTAATGGTGTCGAAAGCGGCGTTTATCGAAAGAATACGTAAACTCTAGTTTTTCAATTTCAATTCAATTCCTAAAGTGACTATTTTACACATTTCTTTTACACAGATGGGGTTCTGGATTGGCAGTTCACAAAACACTTAAAACATGAAATTCTGTGAACAGATGTTGGCTCCAATACAGAAAACTAGACGTATAAATTTCTTTTAAATTCGTAATTTTCGAAATCCCAGTTCCTCAAAGAAAATGCCGGAGACATAGCTCAATATTGACGGAGGCAAGTCTGTAATTTTACAAGAAGCGTCCACATGCTATTCTGAATCCCTTGTCTCTGAACGACGTCACGTGTTTGCGCACTGATCGTTGAGAACCCAACCCAACTCTGCCAAAACCCAGGATCACAGAGTTTCATGCACGCATTGGATAAATACCGTGTAAGTGTGTGTCGATTGGACGAACTAACAGCAGGAGATTTATCAGCCATTGGCTCCAGCACAGATCCAATCCTTTAATTCTCGCCAATAACACCCCTCTTCAAAACTAAAACCAATATTTGTCGTTTGAAGCCCAACTGTACCCCAAGGATATTCAGCACTCGAAAACTACCCAAAAGCCGTCGACTAATTTTGCCGTAAGGGGGATTATTTTCGTAAGAAAAGGCATAATGAACAGAAAACTGGTCTTCCGCATCCGCGAGTCGGCGGGTTATCATTGGCAGATTCGAGAGATTGGTGCTGTTGGCCAGGGAGATGGTTTGCATAGCGAAATCTCATTTTCTTCATCTACCGTTCGGAGATATGAAAGGGCAGTTGTGCGTCTTACTCCGTTAGAAGTGGGGGATATTGCTGCTCGTGTGAGCTTTTGATTTTTATCGACCTGCCAACCGTCCCATTCAGTGGCGCCATTTACGTTTCGGGGAAATCGAAGAGAAATTTCTAAAATTGTCCAAAATATAAAACTCATTGTCCATACTGATTGGACGGCCATTTTAGACGGAAACCTGGTTCCGGTCAAAATCGATCGCGTTAATTTAGTATCATTATTCGGGGTTTTTTTCGTCACTTATGTTCAACGGTCTGGTTAAGGTC